ATCTCCCCTGCACACACAGATTTTGACCCTTAACACCCTCACAAAACCCAAACTCTAACCTCACCAGCTAGCTCAGAGGCACAGCTCTTCACCAAGACCATTTCTCAGCCAAACCTTAAGTTTCCAACACCAGGGTGGGTGAACGCAGTTCAGGTACAGCCTTCCCTTGGCTTGTGATCTAAGGGTATTTTCCTTATGCAATTTTAAAAAAAAAAAATTAAGGAACAGGAAAAAAAAAAACATTCTTGCCAGATCTAAAATTATCAGCTTGATAGGTGAAATGTTTGGAAAGAGCGAGGTGGTGGGAAGCAGAGTTATGACAGATGGTGAGCAGGCACTAGCGCTCCATTACCCACGGGAGTTATTTCACCACTGCTCCATGGCCAGCCAGTGGTGGGTTGGTATTTGTGAATAAAATACTGAGGCAGACTGCTGCTCTTTGGGAAGGGAAAGGAAGATGTTAAATTGTGAAGGACAGAAGCAGCTTTAACAAATCTATGCCCCCTCCCTTGCCTTGCTTCTTCAAATTATGGTTGTCCCTGTAAGGGACAGAGCAATAGTTTGAGCCAGGGTTGTGCCAAACCACCCACTTTTACTTACTTGCGTTTCACGTGGTGGATGAAAAGGTTCCAGAAACAGGTAGCTTCATCCATCACCTCTTTGTGTGCCAGGAGCCCTTGAAAACATCTCATTCCCCAACTCAACATGCTTGGGAGGTGTTCTCAGTTACAGAAATCCTGCCACAGAAGGAGCTTCTCCAAGAAATAAGGAGAAACCTCACCAGTTTTCTTCAGGTTCACTCCTTCCCCAGCACTCCCAGCAAGCACATCACAACAGGCAAGGGCAAAGGGACAGACAAGCAGATTCCCGAAACTTTGGTGAGGATCCCACCGCTCTCTGTGCACTACAGAGAAGTCTGCAGGGCCCTGCCACGTGCTGTTTGAAGACCATACAAGGCCAGGGCAGAGCCAGTGTGTCCTGCTGCAAGCCAGAAGGACCCAGGAGGAAGAGGCTGGCTGCTCGTCCAAGATCGTTACAATCAGAAAGGGAATGCGTTGGCTGAATTTGGGCAGAAGAGCCTCAGAGTGAATAATCTAGCAATACTAGAATCAGGCATGAGGTTTCCTGATGAAGGAATTGGTCAGGGCTGTGGGCAGCATTTGTTCCAGAAGGGAAGATGAACATCTGACACCTTGTGCCTTTGCCTGCTTTTGCCAAGATAGGGGGGGCCCTTCTATGTATAGGTATGCCCCCTGCTATTTATTTTAAAAAAACAGATGCTGCACACTGCAGAGAAATTTTTCTAGCCCTGTGGCTTCTTGGAGGATGTTGACAGCCTGGAGTTTGGATCAAAGATATTCTCAGGAACCACACTGTAAGTCTTAGAAAGCACTTGACGGCACCTAGAAAACAGTCTGCAATTTCTAGAAAGCAATGGGGAATTGCTAGAAAGCACTGAGAAATTTCCAGGAAGTGCTCTGCAATCCCTAGAAAGTGCTTGGGTATTTCTAGAAATGGCTCTGTCATTCCTAGAAAGCACCTGAAAATTCCTAGAATTTTCTTTACTAGAAGAAAAGCATGTGAAAGCCAGCTGGAATTGCTAGGAAGCACATCAAACTGTTGAGAAAGCACTACGGAATTCCACTCTATAACCGCTACATAGCTCTCTGCATTCCTAGAAAGAACAAGGATATTCCTGGAAAGCACAAAGAAATTCCCAGAAAGTAAAGGAAAATTCCTAGAGCCCCATCTGAATTCCTAGAAAGTTGTGGGAAATTCCTAGAAAGCCCATTAAAAATCCATAGAAAGCCCACTGAAATTTCTAGAAAGCACACAAACATTTTTGGAGAACAACACGGAATTCCTAGGAAGCGAGGGGAAGTTTCTATTCCAAGCGTTAGGTTGCATTCTCGTTGCTGCCCGGGAGTGTGACAGTTAGCATTCAGATTGGCTTTTGAGTTACTGCATGCACTGGTAAATGGTCAGGTAGGTACATGATTGAGCTGGTAACTGGAATTTCTGGGTTTGGTGATTTGTTTACCAAATACCAAAGTTTTATGTACAGAAACAAACGTAATGTTTATCTACGTGAAACTTCAACACTTAATAATACCAACAGTAGACATACTCTGCATATATAGAGTAAGTCTACAGCCAGAGGTTTCTTTTTTTCTATTGCATACACTTCTACAGAGATCTCACAATAGCAAACTTTAAATATTTTTGTTGAGTATTACCATGCTAGAGCCTATGAGGAATTTAGTCCATCTCCAGCGGGAGGAGGGACTGGCTCCCTTGGCCATTTATAGCTTTTAGTTGCCAAAAAGATTTTAGTTTGGATTTTCAAGGAATACTTTGAAGGGGCATTTAGGCAATAAATAAGTAAGAAGTCATTTGAGTTTTCAGTTGATGACACATTATTGTTGGTTGGGTTGGAGCACGGACTGGCTCCTACTGGGACTGGCTGGGGGACAGAGGGGTTTGCTTGGACCAATGTCCTGCGCTTGGGCAAGGAACTTGCCCAGCAGTTCAGAGACTGCTCACATACCAAATTACACAGCAGTGCTTCCCCAGGGCCCTCTGCAAGGAAAACCATGGCAATGGAATTGCAAAACCTCTCTGCTCTCCCCAGCATCAGGCTTCACAAAGCTGCTCTGTCTCCCTTGGATGGGGTTCGTTTAGCTGCTGCCGAGCCTCAAGTTTCACCTCTCCCCACCAGGATGTGGTCAGCCTGTGCCAGGCTATTTATATATGGACTTTTCTTCAGTAATTTCCTGTAACCAAAGTCCCTGACCAGGAGAAGCACAAGAGGGACTTTGATTTTGTGCCACGGGATGCATGAAGGAGGCGACAGGGTGAACTCAGCTCTCCTTGAGATCCAGAGGCCTCTTGGCTTGCTCAGCGCAGGGCAGGGAGGGAGGAGGGACTGGCTGGTGGGTCCCCAAAAAGCTCCTTTCAGCTCCATTGCAGAATGGTGAAGAATGCTCCCAGGCACCTTGCAGCCTGGCATGGAAGGAGCCAGAGCTTTCTTCTCCCAGCAGGACTTTGCAGATGAGGATAGGAGCATCCAGGATCCAACCTATTGCCCTGCAATGTCAGCCCCCCACATCCCTCAAGTGCCCACCTGGAAAGGAGACGCCGCTTTCTCCAACCTCTGCAAAACCTTCTTGCCACTGCCACCACCCTGCTGCGGGCTGGCCAAAGTCCTCCAGCACTTTCTCTGCTCCTCCATCCTGATAGATCAGCCCATGGTACCTTTCCAGCTGTGGCAGAGGTTACCCTTCAGAGATCCCTAAAGGGACAGAGCTGACAACCAGTGGAGACCAACTGCCTTTGTGGGGCTGGGGGTGCCTCTGTGGGGGGTGATGGCAGCTCAGAGCCCTGGGCCTGAAGGGGGCCCAAGCTGGGCTTTCTGGCACGTGCTCATCTAAGACATGGGTCATTAAACCCCCAACCAAGGTGAACACCAATGAGTGAGAGGGTTGGCTTACAGTAACAGCAAGGCTTTCCAGCCAAAAATGGCAGGGGGCTGGGAGGAGGGAAGAGCTAGAGATGCTCTTAAGGGAAATAATATGGAGAAAATAGTAATGATAGTTACTTGAAATAGTTTTTTTAGTTCATATTAAAAAATAACATGGAGAAAATAGTCTGGAAAACCAGGTGCACAGAAACAGCAGGACAGAGAGCTTCACTGTCAGGAGAAACATCCTCAGTCCCAGCGGCAGCCCCAGGGAACCTCACTGCCTTCATCACATGGGCACAGCTTTGACGCTGCCACCAACACAGACCAACGGCCATCTGTCCCACGCCACCGACACAGACCAATGGCCACCTGCCTGATCACTCGGGGACAAATTGCAAAACCTCCAGGCCTGCTAGAGGAGCAAGCAGCAGGTTTCATCTATGAATGAGCCCATGAATTCTGCTGCCCAATGCAGATGTTTCCAGCAAATTTTCAGCTGCTTCTTGTTCATCCCTGAATCCCAGATTTCATGCTTAAGCTAAAAATAAAAAAGAACTCTGTGTGAAGTTAAAGGAAACAGAGAGTTTGCCCAGCCCTACAGGAGCTATCTCAGCTTCTCCTCTGGGAGGACACAGCGGAGAAACAAAAAGTTAATCCATCTTGGTTCTCATTGACATGGAATGGAGAAAAACAATTAAATGGGAGAGCCAGCCTAAAGCTGAGAACAAAGACACTGCACCGATATTTCAGGTCTTTTTCCTTTACTCTGAAGGGGAAAAAAATTGCTCCATGCTTCATCCCTTGCAGGTTATCTTTGGAGGAACAATGTCCCCATAATTTCTGCCAACAATTAACCTTGCCTGTGCAGCAATTCTTCCCTGGGTCACCAGAGCAGCTATTTATGCCCCTGGCCAGAGATGCTGCTGCCACCAAACGACTGCCCTTCCCCTTGGCCAGCCCTGCACCAAGGCAGTGGGCAGCGGGCCCCAGGGTGTCCCCCCCTGCTCACCAGGACCCACTTCACCAGGACCCTTATGGTATAGACCCTCCACTGCACATGCTTTGCAAACACAAAGAAAAAAACCCAGACATATGTGTTGCTTAAACACACCTGTGTCACAGGTGTCAGGCTGCAGGGTCCACCAGACCAAGTGCACAGGGCTGGATGGCTGGGGTTATGGTCTTCAGGACCTCTGGTTAGCTGCTCTCCAAAGGACTTGGGCAGAAACAGGATTTGCCTCAAGTCACCTCTCTGCAACATGTGGGTAACGCCGGTTCCCCCACATGCTGGAAGAGACACTGATGGCTCACCTGAGTACCTGCACAGCACTACTTCTGAGCAAAAACCAGAGCTTTAGTTGTGCAGCCAACGCCAGGAACTGGAGCATAGGCCTTGAAACAAAACTCCAGACCTGTGCTGCTGCCAGCGGGACTATTTGCCCACCCAGAGCCGGCTTTCAGAGGTCAAGTCAAGCCAGTTCTGAGCTGGAGCCCTGCAACAGGGTCTGGGGCAGCTTCTCCTCCCAAGGCACAGAGCATGAGCCAGCCCAATCCCACTAGTGCTGGAGAAACACATTGAACCAGGGCTGCCAAAACCAGTTATCTTCACTGAGGGAGCAAAGACCCTTGCTCCCACGTGAAGCCACTGTGGGGAAAGAGCAGCACCCTTGGGTGAAGGCCTTCAGGCTGACTGGTCCCATCAGAGGTTGCAAGCAAATACCACAAGCCTTGGACAGTCCTGCAGTACCTGTGCTCCCCATCTCCCTCATCCTGCCACTGCTGCAGGGTTAAGGTGGGCCCAGAGCTGGGCTGAAACCCCAACCTGTCACCAATGCCAAGAGCAGCACGCATGGGAGGAGCCCAGGGCAGGCTGAGGTCTGGCAGAGGGGAGGGTGGGGGACGCTCCAGCCTCCAGGACACAGGAAGATAAATCACCAACATTGTCGTCATTATTATCAGCAGCGCCCAACCTTCGTGTTGCACAGTGAGGAGGAAGAGCTTCGCCTAGCCCTGGAAGGAAGGGGAGAGATAGGGAGGGTGGCACCGCTGTGATGGGGAGAGGTGGGAGAATGAGACCTACTGAGTGCCCGACAAGGCAGAGGAGCGATGCTGGGGGTCTCTTGGCCCCCTGCTTGAAGACCCCTTGCTCTAGGAGCTCCACCTCCAATATCTCCAGCTCTGCTTTTGTCCCCAGCGTGGTGGAGGAGCAAGGGGCTCATACCCAAGTTAATGAGTGGAGAGACTAGGGACACGTCCAGGGCCTCTTAGAGGAATTCTGGAATCTGTCAGAAGCAGCATGCTTTTGAAGTGATTTATTTCTCACCAGGGTTAAGGGGCATGAGGCTCATTAGTCAGGAGAGACAGAAACATGCTTCCTGTCACCTCAGCCTCTCCCTCCGGCAAACCCAGGAGCTTTAGGTCCAGTTACCCCCTGGCAAACACCCCGGGGTGGGTCCCTCCACAGCATCCCCAGACATGCCCAGGAGAGCAGCACTTCCTATGAAGTCAGTGCTAATGAGTCACCGTGGCTAAATGACATTATTTAAAGCAGCAGTGAAGCTTTCCAGGCTCCCACCACGCTTTCTCCAAACTGGAGATCAGCAAACCAGTAGTGGCCTCCGTCCACCATGCACAGCACTGAGACGGTCCCACAGTTACTGGACCAATCTGCCCTCAGGGAAAACTGGTCAGATGCCTTAGCATGGGGTCAGGATCCAGCCCAGGTGGCTTTCCAGAG